TTGTGCGATGCCGCTGCAGCTGCAGGAGCGGCGGCGGCGGGCGCGGGCGGTGCGAGACGTACCTGTATTGTTCGCGAGTCTGGGCAGCGCAGGGCACGACGCGCGGCTCAGCGCTCCCAGCCTCGCGCTAGCTGCCTCCACGAGAGCCGCCTGATTGGCCAACGGGCTCCGCCGTTTAAAACAACCTCCTCGTCCAGCCATTGGCCGCACACCTCATGCATATTAAGCAGACTCCCGCGCCCATTGGGCGCGGCCTCTGGGCTCATTCATTCAAACACAACAACCCGCGGTCGCCTGCTGCGAAGGCAAAACACAGAATAATGATATTCTCTCGAACCCACCTCCTGAGCTGCTCTCGCAGAGCCCAGGCGCGAGCTCTAGATCTCCAAGGACTTTGGGGAGGTGGCCCTGACGTTCCCGCAGGCCTTGGCCTCTGGCGTGAGAAAGCGAGGTCGAGCTCAGATGCTCTTGCCCTCTGCTCCCGCAGCGTGACACTTTAGCCGCCTCTCGCCCTAGTTCGTGCCCCAGGAAACCCCCTGGGTCGTTAGGCTAGGGCCGATGGCCCACCTCTGCCCAGCAGTGACGCAGCAGGGGCCTGACTGCAGGCCCCCACTCGGTGCCCAGCCAAGCTCCAACGGCCGCTGCTGCGTCCTAGCAGAAGGCAGCAGCTTTCAAAGCCTACCTAAAAGAGGCCTGACTATGCCTTCATGGATGGCATTCTTTGCGGCTCTTTCCAGTAATTGCCAGTCTCTGTGTAAGCACCTGAAGTTCAGAAAACGGCGGGCAAGGATAGCTAGGAGAGGAAAACAAAGTCCGACAAGAGCTGGAAAAATGTGAGGAAAGGTAGTTTTGTGAGCAAGCAGTGTCACAGAGTGACACAGGTTCCCCCATCACTGTCCAGTGCAGACATGCATTTCTTTCTTTTACTGGCACTCCCCTGGTGAATAAAAGAGTATTTGGAATACAGACCAAATGGCACTGACTTGATAGTATCCGTCAAAATATCAGCCCTGCTTTAAAACGATCTGAGGAGACTGATGATTTAATCCAGCAGTACAGCACTCTGGTGTGTGTGTGTGTGTGTGTGTGTGTGTGTGTGTGTGTGTGTGTGTAAGGGAGTGGTTGATTTCAATAATGCCCCGCTAAAAAGTGTTGAAAAATAGTTTCAGGCCCTTGCATCTGAAAGTTACCACAACTTTCAGAAAACGGTGGGAGAAAAAGGTAGGGTGCAAAGAACATTTTCAAAGTCAGCAAAATCTGGAGACAGTAAAGTCTCACTTTTTATAACGCTCATGGTCAGGCAGATGTTTCCCCCAGGTAGACAGTCTCAGCTCTAACCAGATCCTAAACACCCCTTACCCACTCAAGGAGGGTTGCCCTTCCTCCAAGTCATGCTATCTCTGTGTAATTCACCAGCGAGTAGAGTGTTTTTGTGGAATCTGACCTCTCCACCAAAGCACCCAAGCCTCTCACGGTTGCCAGGCATTTGTAGGCCTGACAACAGCTTAGACCTCTCTGTTGTACAGTGCTCTGGCCACACGGGGAAGTCAACCCTTCCTGAAGGTCAGACCAAAGAAGAGTGTCTTCAGACAACAGCACAGCCAGACCCTCGCTTCTCCATTGCACCCTAGACTCCTACTTCCCCACCCCTACCCCCTCCAGACTTGTTCCTTCCCTACTGCACTGGTAACCCCCTTTCTGTATACATACTCCAAAAGAGGAAGGGTCTATTTTTTGTCATTCATCTCTGCTCAAGAGACAGTCATTACTGCTAGGCATGGTAGTAGAAGCCTTTAATCCCAGCACTTGGGAAACACAGGCAGGCAGATCTCTGTGAGGTTGAAATCAGTCCGTCTATGTGGGGAGTTCTAAGTCAGCCAAGACTACGTAGAAAAACCCTGTCTCAAACGAACAAAGCCATCTGCAAACAAACAAAGGCAATTGTCAGCTTTGAAGGTGGTTGCCACAGTTCTATATACACCTTCCTCCTAGGCTTCTATGTAGGTGATCTTCCTTGCCTCATTTCCTTCTGCGACAGCACGCCAGAGAACAGGCTGTGTCCTAGTGGGCTCCGACCTCACAAAAACACTTATACTTTAAAGCCATGTATGTATGTTAAATATCTACTAATGGCTAGGCAAAGTGTGGCACACTTATAATCAGTACTTAGAAGGATGAGAATTGAGGACTTCAAGTTTGAGGCCAGAGCTGGACTGGCTACACAGTGGGACCTTGGTCTCAAAATCATGCCTCCAACTAAATGGCAGAAGGGAGATGAAGTGGTGTGTAGGGCTGGAAGGAAGAGACAGGAAAACCAGTGTCACATCCCTGTGCCCAGAGGCACAGCCCAGTCTGGTCTCAGGTACTAGAAGGTAGTGCTTTCGGAGTGTAGCAAATGGCAGCTGGTACCTGCTGGCTTGGCACTGACAGGAGAAGTGCCCAGAGCAACTGAACAAGTGAGTAACTGGCTAGGGAGCAGGAGAGCATTCCAGGCCCTAGCGATGGCCCTCCAGGGACCATCAGCCGTCAGTCAACTTCCAGGCTCAGAACCAGGCAAGGCCTAGCCACAAAAGACAACCACTAACCAGAATCTTTTAAGCTGCTTCGCTGCCAAGAGAAGTTATGAAAACATCAAAAGTAAATACGAAAGGGGATAAAGTGTAGCAAATGCTATTTAAAGAGGGTTTCAATCCCTGTCAGTTGAAGGCCCCCAAAAGATTAAACAGAATCTTCATCATTCAACAAAAATGAGCTCCTGGGCCCGTGGCACAATCCCCCCCCCCCACAGACCCCAAACTCTTCACTTGGGTACCCAGGGATTAAATGCGACTCCCCAGAGGCCCAGGAAAGCCAGTTTCTTTAAGATCAATAAAAGCCCCGTGTAGTGGCACATTCTGGGAATCCAAGTACTAGGGCGACTAAGACCTGAAGAGCAGGAGTTCAGGGCCAGAAAAATCCAACACAGGTGCTAGGCATGGTAGCACTCACCTTTAATCTCAGTATTCTGGAGGCTGGAACAAGCAGACCTGTGAGTTCTAGGGCAGCCTGGTCTAGATAGTGAGAACCTGTGGAATCAATGGAAGATTGGGGTTATAGCTCACTAGTACAGTACAGTGTGTGTGCGTGTGTGTGTGTGTGTGTGTGTGTGTGTGTGTGTGTGCGCGCGCGCGCGCGCGCTAAGCTCTGTGTCCCATTCTAGGGCTCACATAAAGAAAACAGAGATGAGCAAATGAAGCAAGCCAGAGTGTCCATTCCACAGGAAGGTGTGAGTTAAGCTGGAATTGTCCAGTCATTTAAAGTTTATCAATGCTCTGAAGACCTCCGAGGAAGCAAGACCTTCACTATCAGCCATTGTAAATCAATCCAGTTCTTGACAGGTAGGGTCTTTGCTAGCTTGCTTTCAGATCTTCCTGTCCTTGAGCTACCCTGCTTATCCTCCTCTGACCAACAACAGCTCTCAAATATCCCACCCCCATACCTAGAGTCCCGGCCCTCTTCCCTCCTCCTCTGCCTTTCTATTTGCTTCCCACTAGGGGGTAAGGTGTTTTCAGAGGTTTTTAGAGGTGATAGCACAATAGCTATCAGAAACCACGTATACCTTGTAAAGACTGCATGGCCCAGCTTTCTGGAACACCAAACAACCACATCCCTGCAAGGATCCGAATAAAAGCTTGGTCATAGGCCCAACAGACTTCGGTGAGCTGCAGCCAGCACCCTCAAAGAGGTGTTCCCAGTTCTGTGCAGCAGCTAGAGAGGTCTAGTGGGAGTCTGGTAGGTGGGTGAAACTGTGCCTCCTCTCCTGCCCTGTTGCACAATAGAAGTATTGAAGCCTCCAGGGAGTCACTGGCCTAGAACCGAACCAAGCCTTGAGCCCTGGGGCTGTGTGCAATTTATCTCACTGCTTCAGCCAAGGAGGCTGAAGCGGTGCCTTGCTATAGTACTGCCTTTACTCCAGCCAGGCTAAACTGCTTCTCCTGGGACCACTGGAAAAGAACCCTGGAAGCCACAGTCATTTCCCATGGCACAGCCCTCTTGAGCAGCACAGGGGTCACAAGAGTCCTGCTAAGGCCGCTTTCATGTTGACTGAAAGGCCACTAGAAATGGGCCGACCTGAGAAACTAACACTCCTCATACTACCTAAACCCAGACCCTTGTGGGTGGGGCACAGTCCTAATCTACAAAAGCTTAAGTGTTAATAGCAGGCCAGGAAAGGTGAGGACAGGCCCTAAACCCAGATGTGGGTGGAGCACAGTCCTAATCTACAAAAGCTTAAGTGTTAATAGCAGGCCAGGGAGGATAAGGACAGGCTTCTGGAGAACATTACCTTTGCAAGGCCTTGCTCTCCCACAGTTAAGGCCCAGGGGAGGAGAGTAGAGAAGGGACACTCCCATAGGGTCCCTCTACTGGAAATGTCATTCCCAGAACAGCCCTATCTTGCTGGGCCTGGACAGCTTTGCTATGCTGTTAGCTGATGTAGTTGAGAGTGTCACCCAGACCTGAATCGCCTGTCCGGAGTCTCACATTGGCAGCAGCTGAGCCAATACCCCAAAGGTATTTTTTATTTCATTTAATTTTGTTATTACTTCTGTTTGTTTGTTCGTTTTGAGATAAGGTTTGGGAATGTAGCTCTATCTTGGAACTATGTAGTCCAGGCTGGCTTTGAACTCACAAAGATCCTTCTGCCTCTGCCTCCCCAAGTCCTAGGATTTAACCCCTAGCCTCCTAAGTGCTGGGGTCAAAAGTGTTCAGCCTATTTGTTTTGTGGTACTAAGAATTAGGTTCAAGACCTCAAACATGCTAGATACATACTCTACTACCAAGCTATAGCTCTGGTCTTCATTTCAAGACTGGATCTTGATTGCTGTGGTCCAGGCTGTCCCTGAAGCGGCTGCCATCCTCCTGCCTCAGCTTCCCAAGCACAGGAATTCCAGATACATTCCCTGGAGTTTGGACAGGCTGAAGTGGTAGCCCTTCTGTGCCTGAACGTATGTGAACGTATGTATAGAATTTAGCTCTGACCCTCAGAGGAAGAAGCTAATTGGCCAGCGCTGTGCTCCTTGAGAAAAGGGAAAAGCTATTCCTCTTCACTGAGGCAAAGATGATGACAGGACACTGAAGAGGAAACACTTTGGGGCAAGAGCTGCTTTTTTGAGTCAGGATTACACTGTGTAATATAACAAAATCTCAGAGACCCACCTGCTCCTGCCCCCACAAGTGTCAGGACGAAAGGTGTACACCACCACATCCTGCTCAAGAGTCACCTCTAAAAAACTGTTCTTGGCTCTGACTCAGTCAGTACTTGGTAAGATTCAGGACTTGATTTATAATCCCAAAACCCACAAAAAAATAGGTTCTAAACTGGTCAGTGAGATGCCCACCTTTAATCCCAGCACTCAGGAATCAAAGGCAGGCAGATCTTCAAGTTCAAGGCCAACCTGGTCTACAGAGTTAGTTCCAGGAGAGTCAGGACTACTAACACAGAGGAACCCTGTCTCAAAAAAAAAAAAAAAAAAAAAACAAAAACCAAAACACTAAGCAGAATCAAATCACGGAGCACCACCCTTGCATGTGGCTGTACCCCAGAGGCGGTGAGATGGAAGGGTGACAAGCAGGTCCCTGGAAGTTCACCAACCAGGTGGTCTGGCAAAGTTTCACGCTAACAAAAAACCTTGTCTTTGACAAAAAGCAAAAGAAGGAACACAAGGATGAGCACTAGACGTGTCTTCCGATCTCTGAACTTTAATACCAACAAATATCCCCCACCTCAAGGGAATGCAAACTACAGATACTGTTCCTAGAACAGGAGGTGAGGCTCAGTGGTAGAGAGCTTGAGAGTTCACCAGGCACATACAAGTCCTGGGGTTCTTCATAGCCAGAACCACAAATTAAATATCACCCCCCCCCATTTCTTTTCTTTCTTAATTTCTGTTTGTTTGCTTTTGGTTGGTTGGTTGGTTGGTTTTCTGAGACAGTGTTTCTCTGTGTAACAGCTCTGGCTGTCCTGGAACTCACTCTGTAGATCAGACTGGCCTCAAAATCACAGATCTGCCCGCCTCTACCTCCCAAGGAAAGGCTGGGATTAAAGGTGTGTACCACCACCACCCAGCCTGTTTTTTTTTTTTAAACAGAATCTGTTTCATATAACCCAGGCTGGCCTCAAACTGGCTATGTGATGTGGGATTTCCCTCTGTATGTTGTTAATATGCTTTATTACCAGTAGCTACTTCGAGCCAATGACAGAGCAGAATAGAGCAAGGTGGGAACTCCAAGCAGAGATACGGGAGGAAAAAAATGCAGAGTCAGGGAGACGCCATGTAGTCATGGAGGAGAAAGACACTGGTGTGCCATTACCGTAAACCATGAGCCTCGTGGTAAAGTATAATAGAAATGGGTTAATTTAAGATATAAGAGATAGTCAATAAGAAGCATGAGCCAATAGGCCAAGCAGTGTTGTAATAATACAGTTTCTATGTGGTTATTTCGGGTATGGCCAGTTGTTAAACAGTCTCTGACTACAGCTATGTAGCCCAGGCTTGACTGGAGCTCCTAACCTTCCTGCCTTCACCTCCCAAGTATTGGGATTATAGGGGAAGAAAGTTTTCATTCTAAAGATAGATGGAAGAGGTTCTGGGAAGACTATACAGACTCAGAGTATTTGTGAGGCTTCTCTAGGCAATAAAATGCAAACTGCCACAGGCTTTGGAAAAAACACAACCCCTTAAATATGTGTTAAAGTGCCCTAAAATGCAGTGGAGAACCTAAAGGCTCAGGTTATGTGCTCAGGCTTCCAAGAAGAGCTGCTTTGTGAGCACAGAAGTGGGGCCCGGGTGTGGCAGGCCAATCCTGTTCATGACGGCAGTTGTCACTCACAGATACCTCATTCATGGCAGGCAACAAGGCGTCACCCATTCAAAACTGTATTGAAAGATGTGTTTGAGACAGTCCAGCTGCTGTGGAAAATGGGAAAGAGGAAGAGAGATTCCTGATAGACACTGGGGGCATCCCATAGAGCTGCCTAGATGCTGTGAAGAGAACAGAGTGGCTGTGCCTTTCATGAACCTCCTTCACCAAGCTGGTATGGGCTTTTCAATGAGGCAGTTCCCCCTTTTCTTTTTTATTATTAAAAATGTCACATGTTTTCATTATATGCTTTCCCTCCTTCCAGCTCTACCCAAGTCCACCTTCCACTCAACACACACAGTTTAACAGATGACCCCATCTCTCTCTGGGAGAGAAAAACAAATATAAACAATGGAAATCAAACAAACAAAAACCCAAAGAAAATAAAACAAAAAGTACATAAAAGACACAAAATGCGTTGCTCAGTTACTCTCAGTTTTGGGGTCTGCCCTGGAGTGGGGTTGATATACCCAGTGACACTTTGTGATGCAATTCCCATTGAGTCACTCCTACTCCTATAAGTAACCCCAACTGAGCACAATTAATAAAAACTCAGGGAGAGAAATTGGGGTTCAACCTGAAGATCCAAAAAGCAAAGCAACCAGCCACTGCCTCTTACCTTGACCTCAGGCTGAAATGGTGATCCTGCCTCCAGGAATCTCAGAATGAGACTAAACCTGAGAGCTGTCTCCTCCCGTTTTATAATCCTCTCTAGTGCTGGGATTAAAGGCGTGCATCACTGGGATTAAAGGTTTGCACTGCCTGGTTTCTATGGCAACTGGTGTAGCTACTGGGATGAAAGGTGTGTGCCACCATTGCCTGGTCTGTAAGGTTGGCCAGTGTGGCTGTTTTACTCTCTGAATTTCAGGCAAACTTTATTTATTAAAATACAAATGAAGTGCCACTATTATACCCAATAAACTCACTAGTTTACTAAACTAGGCTTGTGTGGAGCTGTTTGCTCATTCCCAGCACAAAATGAACCATTTGGTCCTAAAGTAGAGAAGAGTCAAACTGGAAAGGAAGTGAATTAGCTTGTTTAGGGATGAGGACACACAGAATTTGATTGTAAGTGCAGTATCCTAAGTCCCTGCTGGGAGTGGAGGTGAAGATAAGGAGAGGAAAAGAAAACTTTGCAGTGGCCCTAGGCAGCTGCTGTTGCTGTTCCTGCTGCCACTGTCTGCCTGCCACTGCCACTGTCTCTTGCCATAGCTGGCTCCTAGGAGTGCTTCCCAATAGCGTCTTGGCTTTCATCTTAAAAGCCAGGTGACGATAATGATGATGAGGGCACACCCTAAAGCCCAGCTTCTGGAACACTTGATTGGGGGGAGTGAGGCTACGGAGGGGAGAGCGCACCAAATCAGCCGTTTACCCTCTGTCTTCTGATCTTGCTCCCCTAACATGGCTCCTGATTAAGTGATGAGCCAGCATATGTTGCTGGCTAATTTAAATATTTATGGTGGATTTTCAGATTACTTCTTAGCATGCCAGAGTGTTGACACACTATAAATCTTGTAACTTCCCAGGTGGAAGAGCCATTAATGTCTAGCGTGAATTTTTCCTGCCTAGCTGTCTGTGTGGAGAATTTGGTCCCTGAGAGCCAAATGGCGCGTCAAGGTCACACAGGCATTTGTGGAGAGATGATGCTGGTTCTTTTCCCAGGGCTCTGGCCATTGCATCACACCAAAAGCCTGTCCCAAAAGAGTGGGGACTAGAAAGATGCTGAAGCTTTAGAAACAGATGGAGACCATGCTGCACTTTTCCCAGGCAAAGGAGGCACATCATTTTCTGAGAACAATAAAGGAAACAGACAGAGATGGTGAGCCAGCCAGGTACAGGCTGAACACAGTACCTGCCATCTCCCATCATCCTACACAACAGTAAAGCTACTACACTGGAATGCTGCCACCCTGTTGTGCCTGACCACCCTTCCAAATGGATGAAGGTGGGGAGCTAAGGTTCTTTAGGCTCTTCGTGAACTCAAAGCTGTGTGATCTCTCCACAAGCTGCACTCCATCGCCATGGTATCACAACCTAGCAAAGAGACCTGGGAAGACAGTACGCATGCATTCTGCTAAGAATGCACCCTGCTGGTCCTATGTAATGGTGGCCATGTTCAGAACACATGTGGTGAGCGCAGAAGTCAAAAGCATGGGCTTTCAAGTTAGCGGGATGAGTATTCAAATCTCAGGTTGGTCCCTTTGCAGCCAAGCACTCTTCGGCTGGTTGCTCACTGAATCTTTCTATGCCTGTTTCTTCATCAGTAAAATTGCTTCATACTGCTTACCTCCTCACCTGGAGGTACAATTCTGAGAAATGCAAAGTCCTAATTAGGCTGTGTACTTAGTCCTAGACACCCAAAGATCTGTCAGCAAATGCAATTGTTCCAGAAAGCTGGAGTCTTAGGTAAAATTTTATTCCAATTCCTCACTCAATTTTACACAAAGAAGGGCTTACTTTCATGATCAGAAATAAAGTATTTCATAGAGAGAGAAAAAACACTATCCTTGCAACAACATCATCCAAAACTGCTCTAGGTAGGTATTCTTCTATCCTCAGAAGAGGGACAGATGTTGCTAGCAGCCCACTTGACAGGAATGACCCCAAACTGTGATTCCAGCCTGATCCTGGGACTAGCACTTGCTCTTTGT